TGTGTTCATGTATGTATGTGTAATATTCATATATATTTGTGTGAGTGTATAATTGCATATTATGTGTGTATGTGTGTGTGTGTGTGTGTGTGTGTGTGTGTGTGTGTGTGTGTGTGTGTGTGTGTGTGTCTGTAAATATTAATTTAGCCACTATCGTCGTCGTTTAGCATGGTTTACAATTTTGATCATTTATTACTAACAGCGCCTAAATACTAAAACCACTATTGTTTTTGACACCATTGTTGTTTTTATAATTATTATTATTATTATTATTATTACTATTATCATTTAATCATTTAAAATTATCTCTTGTAAATTTTATTTATTTGGACTGAACAATTATGCTACGATTTAACTAATTCAGTAATATCATCATCATACGCCATCTATTGCGATAGACATTCAAATTTACATTTCTCGTTGTAGGCATTTTATATCTATAATGGCGAGCATCGTAGACTACTTTCTCATTTTAATTCATTTTATTTTATTTTATTTCATTGAATATTTATTTCGCCCATTTTTTGGAAAAAATAAAAGAGTTCCCATTATTATTATTATTATTGACAAATGGACAATTATTATTATAATTATTTAAACTAATTTTCTAAATATTTCAGGAACGATGTTACCGTACATAAGAAAGGGGAATGACTGGCATTAAAAAGATACAATAACACACCATATGTGACCTGAAAAAATTTTTTTTAATTTGAAAATAATGATGGGAGAGCATTGAAATGTTTGGATGAATGTTTGTTTGTTTGTTTTGCTTTGTTCGTTTGTTCGTATGTTTGCGTTTGTTCGTGTTTGTTTAGTTGGTCGGTTGGCCGGTTTGGCCGGTCCGTTTGTTCAATAGTTAGTTCGCCAGTATGTTTGCTTTTTTTGTTTGTTCGTTCGTTTGTTTGGTCGTTTATTTCGTTTGTTCATATACTTGTTTGTTCACTGATTTATCTTGTTCGTTCGTTTGTTCGTTTGTTGGATCGTTCTTTTATTCAGAACTCGAGGTTCATTTTCTTTCGGAGTCAATGAACCACATTATTTATTTTGACTAAATCTAATTTTTTGGAAGTTTGCAGGTATCACACGTTGATTGAAATCCGACTAAGAGTAGTTTGTCCAAGTAAAGATGATTTGATGTGTGTGTGTGTGTGTGTGTGTGGTGTGTGTGTGCGTGTGTGTGTGTGTGCGTGTGTGTGTGTGGTGTGTGTGTATTAAGAGATTAAGCCAGCAACCGAATGTTTAGTATGTAGCTAAATCCGACTAAGAGTAGTTTGTCCAAGTGAAGATGATTTGATGTGTGTGTGTGCGTGTGTGTGTGTGTGTGGTGTGTGTGTGTATGTGGTGTGTATCACTTTTTTCTCAGCAACATCATTTGTTATTATCGTCACTTTGTTATCATCTTCATCATTTTATCACCATCACCATCATTATTTCGGCGCGTGCAATGCTTGTAAGCAAACCTGTAAGCAAAAGTTTATAATTATTGCTTGATAGAATTGTTCCAGGCTCGTAAAAAGCATTGGAAACGTTTGCAATCGCCATGATGATGAGGATGACGACGACGACGATGATGATGATGGTGATGATTATGGTGACGATGATGATGATGATGACGATGATGATGATGGTGATGACGATAGCGATGATTCATTCAAAAAATGTTAAATATTAATAATGAATAATTTTAAATGTTGGGATCGAAAAGTTCTAAATAACGTTTTTCCAATTGAAATAACTACAACTTAAATGCCCACACAAAATGGTACCACCACAAACAAATTGCACCACAAACAAATCGCACCATAACAAGTTTCTAGCGGCATACTAGCTTAAAATCACAATCTAAGAAGTAGATACCAAAGTTTTAAATTTAGAAATCAAACTAAGAGGGAATGGTGGCTAAAAAACGTAGACATCTCAAATTAGAATACGCAAAGTTAATTAAAATTTTCAAAGTATTTTGAAGACTTGCCTCATGAGGATTGAGAGTTAATCAGGCAGTGGAAAGGCACTTGAAACGTTTGCTCTTCCGGAAATGTTTGAAATATTCTTTACTTTTCGTTGATCAACGCATTTAAAAACATAAAACTCAATAAAAATTGTATGAATATTTCAAATATGGTATCATATAGTTAGCATTATGATGATGAATATAGTTGAAAAATTTATATGTATGTATTACAACTGAAGTTAAAATATGTATTATTTATTTTAATACCAAATCACATATTCACATGTCAATGTATCAATAAACATAAAAAAAGACAAACACAGTTCATGAGTGTACATAGACTCCATCACAAATACAACAATTTCACGCACTCACATACACACTTACACACACAACACACACATACATGAACACTCGGACATCAAATAATGGATAGGTATAAAATTCTAAACTAAAAATATCCATCTCTTTAAATGAGTTCCGTGGAATTTTCTGAATTAATAATTTGATACTTCTTCCTTCAATTAAACTTTTTCCATTATCGAACTAATAATCTATTTTCATCTCCAGTGCTCAACAACCAAGCATCTGTTTGAGTTTTCATAAAATGAAATGTCTTTGTTTAACCATAAATGAAATGTCTTTGTTTAACCATAAATAAAATTTCATTGTTTAACCATAAATGAAATGTTTTTGTTTGACCATGAATTAAATGTCTTTGTTTAACCAAAAATAACTACAGGCGATCTTAAATGAACCAAAAACTAATTAAACTAGTTTTCTAACAGTTGAAAAATCTCATTTTGTGGGCGTTCCTGGAGCGACTTCGGTGGTAGTAGTAGTAGTTGTTGTAGTAGAAATAGTAGTAGTAATAGTAGTAACAGTAGCAGTAGTAGTAGTAGTATTAGTAAGAGTAGCAGTAGTAGTGCTTGCGAGTATGTGTTTACAGTTAATAAATACATATTCAATTAAACGCAATTGAAAACGTCCCTAACTTTTTTTCTTTGCGTGTTCCATTTTCAAAAACATTTCAAACGTAAATTTTTTAACAAATTTTCTTTATAAAATTTGTAAACTATTTTTAAAAATATTTTTATTGATTGTACGAATGTTTTTTAAACAATCAAGTTTATATTTCAATCATCACAAAATGAAGAACAAGAATACGAATTCGACGATGCAATAAATTTTGAACTTGGGCAAAACTGAAACAAAATGAAAAAATCTATAATGAACATTATAACAGGAGCAATTTCATTTAAAAAAAATAAAAGATACATAAGTCAAACGTTTTTTCAATAAAAAGGCATATGTTAAATTCTTTTTAAAGTCTTCCAAAGTCAAAATAATATAAATCGAATAACTGTTTGATACAATAGTCATACATTTATAAGTAATGATTATGATCTGCTCCATAATCATTAATGGTAATCAAGTGAAACAAGTCAGCAGCTTCAATTATCTCTAAAGTCTGATTACCTCAGGTTGTAAATGTGATATGGATATCAAAAGAAGAATAGTTATGGCGAATGATGCATATTTTAGAATGAAAAACATCCTCACCAACAGTAAAATCAAAATACCAACAAAATTAAAAACTGTTAGAGTGCTACATTTTACCTTTGCTAACTTATGGCTCTGAGTCCTGGACAATTTCTAAAGAAATGTAAAAAAAGTTTAACGCTGCTGAGATGTGGTTTTTGAGAAGAATTATGAAAATTAGTTGGTCCTCTCATACTTCAAATGAGGGTTACGAAAAGATTATAAAAAGTTATGAAAGTTACAACCAGTCCGGTTATGAAAAGAGGAAATTACAACCGATAATCCGACGGGGGCAGTTAAAGTTTTTGGCCACATCATGCGGAAGGAAAGAATGGAAAATCTAACAACTTCTGGAAAGATTGCAGGGAAAAGAGATCGCATCGCGGTCAACAACGAATAGCATTCGTGAAGTTTTCGTGTCACTTGTTGGATATCACCACATCTCAATTCTTACAAAGCGTTAAAGATCGGGTTTGTGGAGGTCGATGGTCGCCAATGTCCTGAAAGGAAAAGGCACGAGAAGAAGAAGAACAGATAAAACTTGAATGTTAAAATGATAAATCCTAACAATGCGACACTGCTTTGACATCATCAGTACATCATCAACACTTGCCAGCTATATAAGTATCAATATTGATGTGTTTTTGTTGTTGTATTTTTCATATTTTCAATCTTCTGATAGATTGATTTTTTTTTGCTTAATGCAATGCTAACATTTGGTTATTCTATAGATTTTTTTGGCTAGCTGTTTACTAGGTTAGATGGTTATAAGTTTAATTATAGATGTTATTATAATTGATGTGTTGTTTGTTGTTGTCTAATTCTTAACCTTATTTTGGAATGCTTGCTTATTGTGGAAGTTTAGTGACACAACATTTTCATTTTTCTTTTTTCTGTGTGTGTGTACGTTTCTATGTGCATGTTCATGTATAATTATATATATATATATATATATATATAACATATACTCGGAGTGTATGTGTATGAGTGTGTGTGAGTGTGTGGTGTGTGTGTGTGTGTGTGTGTGGTGTGTGGTGTGTGTGTGTATGTTACAGTTTTTCTTCGGTAGCAATCCAGATGAACTGCAACAAACTGTGCTGATTGACCGCCTGGTAAACTCTGATGAGTGTGTCTTCAAAATCATCTGCCCTGATGATGGCTGGATTGAGTGGATGAATAAAAAAATGAATGAATGAATGAATGAGTAAATGGATGAACAAACAAACGAATAAATGAAGAAATGAATGGAGGAACTAACAAATGAATGAATGAATAGAAATAGATCGTTTTCATAAGCAGACCTGTAAAGAGGGAAAGATTTTGCTCAAGAAGAAGATTATCACTTCTGCATGAGTCGCCGCCATACCCTCCGTCGTTCATTTGCTCGTATCTTCAAAAGTGTGTGTGCGTGTGTGTGTGTGTGCGTGTGTGTATGCATCTTCAAAAGTGTGTGTGGTGTGTGTGTGTTTGTATGGGTTTTTGCTTGGTAAAAATACCTGTGTGG